TATCTCTTTCTCAGATATGTCATTACCAACTAACATGTCTACAGATACCTCAATTGAGTTATCCGCCTTGCCCTCTTCTGAGGAACTTGTCTCTTCTGATGGATCCGCTCCAACGACTTTTGATCTCCCTACTCAACGAAGTGACTGGGTAAAAACTCCTTCTGTTAATCTTCGTGACTTTGTTGTATTTTCTACTATTCTTTCTCGCCATGAACCTCAGTCTTATCGTGAAGCTAGTTCTGATCCTCTTTGGCAGAAAGCAATGAATGATGAACTATAGGCACTCGAAAACACTCACACTTGGGATCTAGTGGACCTACCAAAAGGCAAACATGCCATGGGATGCAAGTGGGTTTACAAGATCAAAACTCATTCTGATGGGTCCATTGATCGATACAAAGCTCGCTTGGTAGCTAAAGGGTTCACCCAGGAGTATGGGATTGACTATGAGGAGACCTTTGCCCTGGTTGCCCGCCTCACTTCAGTTCGCAGCTTAATTGCAGTTGCCGCCGTCCGTCATTGGGAATTATTTCAGATGGATGTGAAAAATACTTTTCTTAATGGTGAACTTACTGAAGAAGTTTATATGTGCCCTCTTCCTGGTTCTCATCATCTTCCGCATCAAGTCTGCAAACTTCGTCGGGCTCTTTATGGTTTCAAGCAAGCACCTTGAGCTTGGTTTGCCAAGTTCAACACCATTGTTGGAGATTTTGGGTTCACTTCCAGCTCACATGATTCTGCTCTTTTCATTCACAAAACAAACCAGGGTACTATCATTCTTCTCCTCTATGTTGATGATATGATCATCACTGGTGATGACACATCCGAAATTTTGGATCTCAAGACTTATCTCAGCCAACATGTCGAAATGAAAGATCTTGGAAAGCTTAGTTAGTTTTTGGGACTTGAGATCACTTCTACCTCTGAGGGATATTATCTTTCGCAAGCAGAGTATGCTTCTGATCTTCTTACTCGAGCGGGACTCATAGATAGTAAGACATGTACCACTCCTTTAGAGCTCATCTCTAAACTCACTCCCATGGATGGTACACATTTGGATGACCCCACCTTGTTTCACCAGTTGGTTGGTAGTCTTGTTTATCTTACAGTTACTCGTCCTGACATCTCTTATGCTGTCCATATTGTCAGGCAATTTCTCTCTGCTCCTCGCACATCCCATTATGCTGCAGTGCTTCACATTCTCAGGTACATCAAAGGGACCCTATTTCATGGTCTCCACTTCTCATCTCACTCTTCACTCGACCTTCGTGCCTACTCAGATGCAGATTGGATAGGTAACCCCACTGATCGTAGATCTACCACTCGGTATTGCTTCTTTCTTGGTGATTCTCTTATTTCTTGGAGCAGCAAGAAATAAACAGTAGTCGCTCGATCCAGTACAAAAGCTGAGTATCGAGCCCTTGCTGATACAACTCAGGAACTTCTTTGGTTTCGCTGGTTACTTGAAGACATGGGTGTCATCCATTCTACTGCCACTATCATAAACTGCGATAATCAAATTGCTATTCAAATTGCTCACAATGATGTATTCCATGAGCGCACAAAACACATTGAAATTGATTGTCACTTTATACGTCATCATCTCACCCGTGGGACTATTGGACTATTATCAGTTTCTTCAGTCGATCAAACTACTGATATCTTCACTAAAACGCACCCTCCTGGACGCCTTGAGGATTTAGTTTCCAAACTCAAGTGGGTCTCCATTTTACCACCTTGCGTTTGAGGGGGGCTGTTAATGTAAATACAATGTAAATGTTAGTTAGTCCCACATTGGTTAGAAAGGAAAACATTCCTCTCAAATTAGGCTATAAATAGGATACCTCTCTTGTAAACAAATCACACTATTCAATACAATTCTCTTCTCTTTGTATTATTTTATTTTCTCTCTTAAATTCAACTCATCGAAAAACCCTACTCTAAAGAAATTTGTGTATATAATAAAAATGCAACTTGACATAGTTGACTTGGATATATACCTATATATGAGTCAATGCCTAACACCCCTGTTTGGTGTGGATTTCTGGGACAAAACTATACGATTTTGATAGATTTTCTGGCAATTCTTTCAATATGATACTAATGACCTACTATATTAACGTTTGAGTAGAGAAAGTTTGCTGAATAATCATTTCCTCCAAATTGTGAATTTGACACTCCAAATGTTTCGCATGCCACACCAAAAGCGGTAGGACGAAATGGACATTTTCATAAAAAGCCAACAACATTGACTTTTATTGCTTTTTGTCTCTTGTAGAAATGGCCATTTATTTTGTACTATAGAAATAAAAACGGGTTCTATTTGGCTGTTGCAAATAATCAATTTCTCTATGAGAAAGAAAAATGGAATGTAATTAATGGGGCCAAATGGGGACTTAATTTTGACTTTGTTGAAGTACCTTGTCCAAAAATTTAAGTTTTCAAACAGAGCTGGGAAAAAATTATTTACGCAAAATGTCTTTCAAACGCAATCTTTGACGTGTCACAATTTTCATAAATGGATGATTGTAACATGAACACACGTCTTTGCCTATTCTGATAGGTGATACCTTATCTAAGAGATTGAAACGTTAAGTGGTCAAGGGGAGACATGTTGAAATTGTCTAAAGCAGACATAGTATTCAGCCTTCCCTACTTGCTCATGAAAGAAAAGGAACAATTTTTGTGCATGTTTGGCAGAAAATTAAATTATAATTTAAGCGGATCAAGCATATTTTTTATTTACACATTTAGTAGGACCGATAAATACTATGCATTTTTATTCACAGATTTCATATAACTTGCACCTTATAATCACTTATAAGCACTCATAATTGTATATCGAGGAGACATGAGTTCAGAATCAATGTCCAATATGACTCTGTCTAACAAGCTCATCTCCAAAGTTTTTTGCTTCAATTTGAGAAGGGATTGAAATTTCTTACAATCCACTTAATAGTGAATACTATATCCCTGTTTTATTTGGATTAAAATCAAATTAAAATTTCAAATCAAGATCAACAATTAGTTTTAATCACACATTTCATCAACTTTTATCATAATCTATTAAAAATCTTATCTTTAACCTACCCCAAATAGGCTATAAATAACAAACTTTTTTCTTTCATCAATGGAGAAATATATGCCTTGAACTTTTACAACTGTCACAGTAATTAATG